GAATTGAACTACTGTTCCAAGCCCAGATTACTGCCCTTGTCACAGTACGCCCTTCTGGCCCGTGCTTGACCTCCCGGGTGTTACATTGGTTATTACTAGTGAGTGGTCGGATCTTGAGCGACCCTAGTGCCGCTTAAGTTCGTAACAGTTTAGTAGCTAAGTGGTTAATGAAGTAGTTCTTTATCTTTAGACTCGTGTTCGATTCCTCCTATGACCAAAATTTTTGTTAGAAAAAAAAAGAACAGAAAAAAGAAAAAAGGGAAAAAAAAAAAAAGATTTATTAGCCTTCTAAAAGGCCTTCTAGAATTAGAGGCTAGCCTTTTATTTTTTTCTTTTATCATAGGGTATTGAACATTGGATATCAAATTAATATCAGAAGTTTTAGTCTGATCAAAAGTTTTATTTACATTGGTTCCTGGACAGCACATTTAATGTCGTATAGCGCATATTTCTAGTACGGTATTGTAGCCGTCTAGGAGAGACGTGATGAAGTGGATCTCGGCGTCACGATAGGCCTGTTGGACTTGCTCTTCTATTGTAGTTTCAGGGTTTACTCCAGGAGGATATTCTCTCTAGTCGTTCCATCGAAAAGATTAGATTCTTGCGAGACAAGAGATATATCTCTACGGTAGTCTTTAAGGCAGACGGCCGAGATGTCAGTCTCATTGTAAAGAATCTGACCGGAATCCGCGGAATAAAACCTGTATGTTTGTTAGCTGTCTGAATACTATGCATTAGTTGTGTGCTCCTCACAGGCCACTGACCTTTCGATTAGCGAAACCACTGTTGTTTTCCCAGAACCTGCAATTTTTTAATGTCAGTTGTCAGGATATAACAACCCGTTCTCATCTTTTTACTTACCAGAAGGTCTACCTAACTATAGCAGCAAACTAGGTCTTCTTAACCTATTGTAACTGGTGTCAGTCATGCACTCCAAATTTCAATGTAGAAGCGGAGACGAACCGTAATATCAAGGCCATTAAGCACTAGTACATCCCTTGTTGAATATCTGAACCGTACATTGTGAAACTCAACTTTGACACTGCTGTCATTGTCCTCCACGCTACCTCAGTCAAGTGGTGTGTGTAAGGGGACAGCAGAGCGATACGCAGGTGCTGACACCAAGATAATCAATTAAGGTTCTACAAGAAAAGAGAAAAAAGACTAGCCCATAAGGCGGACCTTGTCGCCTATCCTTTAAGGCCGTGCGCTGGTATGGGTGCCTGACTGCCTGAGGCAGCCCCACGGTCTAGGGAGGTAATCGTATGGAGGCTGGAGGGGACCAACGGGCTCTGGGCCTGCCGGTACCTTGCCGGCTTGGCGTGCATTGCTGGCACTCGTCGTCTGGCTAACTGTGTGCCAGATGCTAGTACTGGGCGCCAGACCTATGACAGTGTGGGTGTTCCTCTTTTATTAATGGATAGGGGCCCAGAAAACTATACGTGCGTGGTACTTGTTACGAACTTAAGCAGGACACACGGGCCGACCAAACCGCTGGAAGACTATCACCACTCTAGGACTGGTTGATGTAACCCCAAGGTCTGGGATTGGCCAGGAAGGCGTGATACTATAGTGCTTACGCCAAGCAAGTGCTCACAGTGAGCAGGAGTCGCGAGTGAGCAAGCAAGACTCAAGATGGATATAAGGGCGACTGGAGAACGCAGATTGTCAGATAAGTTCGACAGTAGTCAATTGATCTTTATCACCGAGACACGTATAACGCTACTATACTTGTTGTGAACCTTTTGGCTTCACCGCACAGCACTGATAGTCTTTACCTTCAGCTATCCCACTTAGGCAGATCAGACTGCCGTTCGTCACATAAACTAAATAGTTATTTCTGAAGGAAAGAGCGGGCTTTTCTTAATAAAAAAGGGGAAGTGCGATGTTGGGAAGGAAGGTAGAAAAGAAGGACTTTGAAAAAAAAAATTTTCTTAAAGTTTTTCTTCAAGTGCAACCCCCTATATTATAGCGCCTTCAACTTTGAATGTTAAAGCAACATTGGAAGTCTAGGATGTACCTTCTAAACATTGAATGTCCTAATCTGCATTTTTCCGCTATGGTACTGAGATCGAATCAAGAGGTGTGACATTGTCTAGTGGGCAGAAACAACGCTTTTCCATTATAAGGGCCTTGATATAGAATCCTCGCTTGCTTCTCCTAGACGAAGCCACATCAAATCTGGATGGCGACATCGAAAGGGCCGTACAAGCCGTTTTCGAAAGGACCAAGAAGAACAAAACAATGATCGTGGCGGCTCACCGGCTTGCCACTATTCAGAACGCTGATATCATTTTTGTTCTTGGAGATGGCTGCGTGTTTGAAAAGGGAAACCATGCGACACTGTTAAAGATGCGTGGAATCTATTACCAGATGGTAAGTACCTTCCCACTCTCACTCTCGACTATTATGTGACTTTTGTATGATATGTGATGCTGATATCGTACAGTGTTAAGCTCAAGCGCTGGATAGGTAGAATAGGCAGAAAGGGTATTAGAGTAATCGTAAGGTGTGTTGGGCAAGTGTGCTAGAGGCGATATAGTATATGTGTTCGTAGCGTATCGATGTGATGAACACATTCAGGCTAGAATAGTAATCACCCTGCCGGGGTTGTTTCAGTCGGCCAATCTTTTAGAGGGGGGCAGGTTGGCTGCAGTTGGTCGTTACTAAGTGTTTCTTTTGTTGTTTTAATTCTTACGTTTTCTGAAGAAATATTCCGCCCAACTGGCACGAGTCAATCTGGGGACCGCGAAAAACTCCCGATCTGCGTATCGTGCTAGAGAGCATCTCAGTCGCTTTTGGCTATGGAGAGACTAGGGCCTGGATCAAGCCTCAACATCAAACTCCCGCTTTTAGCTGTAACAGTGTTGTAACACTATGGAAGCTATTTTATAAGGGGAGAAATTTCAGGTACCTACCTCTACTGCCAACTGGCGGCGCATATGAAGGATGTGCCAAAATGTAACTTGGGGTAATCTAATCTTGTGAGATAACGCCAGAATAAAATAGGGTTGAGTAAGGTAGATTCTATATTGGTTAATGGCATGGTTCAATAAGGAGAATAAGGTATAACATGAAATGGGAGCTACTGTGCTACCTAGGAGATTACCTAGAGGTATCTACCGTATGTAGGTACCTCTAGATACAATGTAATGCTAGTTTGTTTGTTAGCTTGGTACTCCTAGCATGAGAGACGAGATATATCCCAATCTATCCTAAACCTTATAAGACCAAGATGTAATGGCTGAGTACGAATTAGAAAGGCCCTCATCCCCAGATGAGCAGTCTGGGTTGAGATTTAGACTAAGAGTGTCCATTGATAGTCTTGAGCTTATACAGTTCCTCCAAATAATTCTCTTCCTCCTCCGTCAAAACCTTGCCTCTAGCGGAAATTGCTTCTTCCAGACGTTCAACGCTGCCAAACCCAATGATTGGACTGGTGACACGCTTAGCAATCCGGGCCAAGGCGACGTGGGAGATCTTCAAGTACAGTTAGTAACCTCTTCATATTGGGGTGTCGATGGGTTCTTTTGTCGACAAAACCTACCAGCCACTCATGCTTATCCGCAATCTCAACCGCACGGTTGATAATTGTGAGGTCGGGCTCAACAGTGCCGTGTGTTCCAGACGTTGTCTCTTTCTTCCCTTGACTCCTCTTGGTGCTGCCAAACTGGTGGGGTCTGCGAGCCAAGTGGCCACGGCACAAAGGAGCCCACAGGATCAAGCCAACACCAGTGTCGTATGTAACGCACCCTGCCGGACTGCACCAGGTCGTGCAAAGCCTTCATGGTCTCTTCGATAGGAGTGTGTAGATCGAAGCGGTGGATCTGTAGCAGATCGATGTAGGGCGTATCTAGGCGCCGGAGAGAGGCCTCGACAGCGTTGAAGATGGCGGCCCGCGACAAGCCGTGCTGGTTGACGTAGTCCTTGGAGGCAGCAATCTGGGAAGGAAAGAAGAAGCCACGGAGATCAGGGTCCGTCGATCACCGAAGCTCATGCAGCCAAAGATGGGCACAGAAACGCGGAGACCGCTCTTGCCTAGCCGTCGGTATTCATATTTGGAGTTCTCAACAGACTCCTTGAGGCTGGCTGGCAGTTCGGGCATCTTGTGAGTTGTGACTTGTGTGCGTGTGTGTTGTAGGTTGCTGGTGGACACTCGGAAGTAATAAGTAGAAGAGTAAAGCGAGGGAGTGTATGAGATGGATCACGAAAATGATGGGAATGATGATATTGAGGGATCCAGCTATCTGAAGCTGGATGGGATCACCAACTATATAAAGCTAGTAATACAAAGAGGAGGAAGGTCTGCAAAGGAGGGGATTCTGGGAGGTGCCAGATCCGCTGTCAAAGAAGGGTGCAGGGCAAAGAGCCCTGCAGCGCAAAGGACTAGCGGTCTGTGCAGCAAACGCCCAGAATCTTCTCACAGAGTGTCAAGGGATGAAGGTGAAGCTGGGGATCACGGTGGCATTATGAAGAAGCATCATTGACAACAGATACTAGGTATACTAGACCACCAGACGCAGCTTGAGACTTACACGAGCACCCCCGAGTACCTGTCAAGACCATCGGAGAAAGTGGAAGGGGCAGGTTACATCCACCGTGGGGGACAGCGTTAGTATTCTGTCAGTGTCAAAAGTAACACCTACCCCGCACCCAATGGCCAGAAGGAAGTCGCGATGCCGGTTTCGCGGTACAAATTTCCTCGCCCGTTCCATCCAAAACTCCCATGATCGTACAGAGTGGAACAAGTGACAGAGGTCGGAGATAAGGCGACCACTCACGCTCTTAAAGTCCGGCTGAGCATGATGAACTAGAGGCTAGCTTAAATGGAAAAAAAGGGCTTACTAATCACATAACGACATCTTCCATTCTTAGATCAAGGAAGGAGACTGGGAGATGCTCCGGACAGCCAAAAATGGAAAAACGAAACCTGTCCAAGAAAGGCTTATGATAGCGCACGCAGAGCCAAAAAGACTGAGCTAGGATGAAAACATCAGCTGAGCCCGACGTGGGAATCGAACCCACAGCCTCAAGATTAGAAGTCTTGCGCGCTACCGATTGCGCCAGCCGGGCAGACATTTTTTAGACAGATTTGTTTGTTTTTGTTCTCATATACGACGAGTCCATTGGATTAAAGATTCCCTCGGATCCACACTGCCACCCAAGGGGCCCAAGCTCCCTTGGACCCTGGAGCTTCTCCTTTCAAATTGACATCATCGTCTTCCCACCAGCCCTGGGAGCCCGTCGACCGTCTCGACATTGCGAACCCATTCGACCAGTATTCCACGACTTACCAAAGCTACAAACGCCACAAAGCACGACACCTGAACCAACAGCCATCGTCGATCGATCGCAACCGCAACACCATGTCCCAAGACAACAGCGGTGACTGGGCGTTGCAGGCCCAGGTTGAGCCCCAGCAACTCGAGGGCGGTGCGGTGCCCTACTGGGATAAGCACTGGTGGGAAGAGTTCCGCCGAGCCAGGACTCTCAAGGAAAGAAACGAAATCGTCACCAAGATCGTCGACCAGATGCCCGTCAAGTGGGACACGCTGCCGCAGCTGCCCTTCTGGGCCCCTTTGTTCAACGTCACCCAGGGCCAGTACAAGGTGGACGTGGGCGCGAGGCTCATGGCCACGTCCCTTCTACTGGGCCACCAGCAGCTGGACCGGGAGGAGCTCGACCTTGTCGCCTACGGCGCCGCCAAGCGCTCTGTCACCAATGCGTACGCCCGGCCCGCCATAGCCCTCGGCACAGGTGTCTGCTGGGCTGTTGGATTCAACAAGTACAACTTCCCTTTCTGGAAGCCAGACCCGGCGTCCTTCAACCCCGAACTTTTCCCGAGCAAGAGATTCACCCTCGCCACCGGGCTCCGGGCTACTCTGGCCTGGCAAGGCGCCCGCGTTGTCGCCTGGTATGTCGCCTGGAGAATTTTCGGCGGCTGGGTCGCGGATGCGTATGCCGAGACCGTCTTCTCAGCTACAGTCATGCGGGACAAGGCATTCAAGCAGAAGCTTATCGAGGCGGGACAGGCGATGAAGACGAAGGACATTTCTCACGAGAGGCCCGAGCTGGGAGACGGTTATTCAAGTGAGCACGCGTCAAACTATGATCACCAGGAGGATCAACAACAACTACCACAACAGGCGCAAACACCATATCTCCAGCGGATTCAGCAGCACCAACATGAGAAGAAAGAACAGCAACATCTGCAACAGCAGCAGACACAACAATCCGCTTATAACCAGGACGATGACGAGTTCCTCTACGACGACGCTTCGCCCGTAGCGCCAGCCGCCAGAGCCAGCTCGCCAGCCGTTCAGACCTCCGGCTCCGCATGGGACAGACTCCGACAGCAAGCAAAGGGTAGCCCTGCACAGGCACCCGGAAGCACGACCGCCACCACACCTGCCACCTACGTCAAGCCTTCCCAGTCCGCTTCGTGGGCGGAGCGCCGTGCGGCTGCTGTAGGCGGCGGCGGCGGCGGCGAGGGACTGTCGTATTCTTATTCGGAGACCGACCAGGAGAGGGCTCTGGCTAAGGAGCAGGCGCAAAAGGAGTTTGACGCCATGTTGGAGAGAGAGAGGCGTGGCGATGGCAGCAGCCGCGGACGTGGGTTCTAAGTCAGTGAGCGAGTGAGTGATATGGTGGCTATGTAAGAGCGGCCATATGTGTACATATAATATTCTGATCTGTACATGGAGAGGGCCTTTCTCTTCTCACATGCTTTAAGCCTGCTTGTCTACATGAGCCAGGGGAGTTTTCTTTGAGGGTGTTTGATGGCTTTTGCATCGTCGGGAGTCTGGCGTAATACATCGTTTTATTCAAGTCTAAACATTCATACACATGAAATGTTTGATAGGATGTAAAGATGTCAAGGTTCCGATTCAACATCCGGCGGAAACGTCCCAAACAGCGCCATGAGATGTTCGATCTCGTCCTTGCTAAGCATCTTACCCTCCTCCCCAGCCTTGGCGAGCATTCGAAAGTCTGTTATCCAAGAGTCCTTTGTTAGCATGCCAAAGAGCACGCATGGACCCACCAAATAAGCGTAAATGACGATCAGGGATCGGGTCATAAAGGGGACTTACAATCAACGTAGTGACCCGGCGTGGCGGTCATGTAAATTTCGCAAGGTTCCGTCTCAGACGCATTCTTGAACGTGTGAATAGCACCCGGCGGGACCGTCATGACATCTCCGGCTGAGGCGTCGACTTCGGCTTCGGGCGTTACGAAGCGGCACGTTCCTTTTGGGAGAGAACAAGTTTCGTAGTCAGCTTCTGCACTAACTCGTTTATACCGTTATAGTCTTTCATATATTCCTGTCCTATTCCATCCCATCACATCCTATTCTAACATCACTCCCTTTTCCAGCTTCCTCAATCCCCATCACAGCTCTTTAAACAGTAAGATAAATGAGTGATTGGAAAAAGAAAAAAAAGAAAAAAAAGAAAAAAAAGAAAAAAAAGAAAAAAAAGAAAAAAAAAAGAAAAAAAGGACCCACCCTTAACAACGAAAAACAGCTCATCATGAAACCGATGCCAATGCATAGGCGGGCCCGAAGCCCCCGGCAGGATCTCCACCAAGATGGCGCTGATGCGGTCGTCGGTGCGGGATCCGTCTTCGTAGACGCGGATGGTCATGGGCCCGACCTCGAGTACCTCGGCGGCCTGCCGGGTGGCTAGATTGACGGGGACGGGGCCGCGGACTGGCATTTTGTTTGTTCTTTTGTGGTTGTTTGTTGATTTCCAGGGTGACAAGACATTCGGTGTGTAAACATAAGATGAGGTTAAGGGGGTGGTGGAGGAGTGGGAAAGAGCGCGTGTTGTGTATATAATACGTTAGTAAGCGTAGGTGTGCGACTCGGTCCGCCCGTTCCGGCTCCAGCTGTAGCTTCGCTTTATCTCACGCGTATGTTCAGCCTGCAAGCATATGTTTTCCGAGGTTATCCTGAAAAGAAAGAAAAAAACAAATCAAATGTCATTGTACCTTTAGCTGCCTGCTCCCATCTTGAATAATCCAAAAAAATCCCGGTATTTTCATTAACGCCTCGCTTTGGCAGACCTTTGTCCATCGGTTGTTCTAAATCTTTTACTTTCATCAACCGAGTTGTGTTTTCATATCTTCATTCCATAAATTCGGCCTGCCTCACCATACCCGTCGACCGTCCATTCATGCTCATCACACCTTATGCCCATTATGCGGATAAGCCATATCCACCACATCAGTCGGCGAATGTGACGCCTGCTTGGCCACGTACAGCGAATTCGCCCTCACTCTCCTGACGGCAAACGAACCAGAACCAGCCGTAGGACTCTTGGTCAAAGTCGGGCTGTTCGACCTTGTCCGCTGTAGCGGTATCTGCTGTCTGCCATTGCCATTGCCATTGGCCACCCCCGGCATGGTCGGCGCCCGTGTTGGCGGACGCGAGCTGCCTGTCAGCATCTGTTCCTCGCAATTCTCGCAGCGACCGGGGCTTTCGTAGATATCGTAGAGGTGGCTGAACAAGGGGTAGAGGTCCCTGGCGTAAGGACGCACGTGGTAATCATGATCCATCATTCTTCTGATGTGTCCGAGGACTTTGATGACGCCGCTTAGGGATGCTTCCTTTTCTCTTTGGCGAGCTTTGAAGGACTGTGATTTGGGCATGGACGGTGGAAAGTTCGTTGACGGCATAGGTTTCTCTGGCGATGAGGATGGAAGGGCATCGAGTTGAGCTTCTGCCATGTGTTCGAGATAATCGATGTATTCCTGCAAGTTGTCTAGCGCATCGGTGTACTTGAACTCGCCCACTTGGTGGGCATTGCCTGCCATACGCTCAAGCTGCTCCTCAGCATACGATGGAGGTTTCCCGAGCAGTACGGTTACCATCTCGAGGAAGACGCAACCCAACGAAAAGACATCCGACCTCTCATCACGCTGAGTCTCCTGCATTGCTTCTGGGTCGGCATACTTGAGCGTCTTGGCAGTCGGTCCTTGAGAATGCTGGCCTGTTTCAAAGTGCTTGGAAAGCCCAAAGTCAGTGAGCAGAGGAACGCCATAACTGTCTATGACAACATTCTCGGGTTTGATGTCCTTGTGTCGTATCCGTACTGTCGACTTGTGTAGGTAGCTGACGGCTTGGGCTAAGCAACCGAAATACGTATGGAGATATTGTGCCATCAAATGCTCCTCTGCAGCAGTCTTTGGTGAGTGGACAGCAGCGGACGCGATCTCGAGCATAAAAGTCCGTAGATTGCAGTCGGCTGGAGGGTACATGGCGATGCCGAGTATGTGACGCTTGATCTGTTGATCGACTCTCCTGAAAACGGCGCGAGCACCGGTGCCGGCAACACGGCGCTGGCGAACCTGGCGGTTGGAGATGCAGTAGTCCTCAAACGAAGCTACGTAGACGACGATGTGAGGATGGCGCACCGCCACCATGTTCTGCACCTCTTGCAGGGCCAGCTTGCGCACATTGCTGTCGGGACCAGGCGGGCGTGTGTTTTCTTTGCAAACAATGACTTTGAGGGCCAGGGGTCGTCTGTAGCCTTGGCCTTCTGGAGGGGTGACCTTGTAGACGATGGTCGAGCCGGAGTCACCCAACTCGGGACCTATCTGGACAAAGGGTTGCGGAGGTTTGAGGTACTCCTTGTTGGCATGGTGGAAGACCTTGTGCTTCTTGGGACTGAGGCCAGCGTCCTGGACCGGACGAAGCCAGGCGTCCGACTCTTCCCTCCCATGGTCGTCCCATTCAAAAAGATCATGGTCGTGCGTGGAGATGTAGTCCAGCATGTGGAGCATGGCCTGGGAGGCTTGGCTCCCGGCCGAATCGGTGGACATTGGAGTCCCGGCTTCCCACGTGCTGGGCCGGCTTGCTCAATGTAGAAAGATAAAGATACCCTCTCGTAAGCAGCGGCAAACGATTGACGGGAAAGACAAAAAAAAAATGGAAGAGGGGGGTGGGGTGGATTGGAGGGTGGGTTGCGGGCTTGGGGGGTTGATGCAAGGGCCAAGCAACCCAGCCAGCAAAGGCTCCAGATACCTTGGGGACCGAGATGAGGCTAGATCGCGATAGTACTGTAGTGACAGGC